ACAAAGGCAAATGAAGGATTTGTATTTATAGATTATGTTTCACAAGTTCAACATGCAACAAAATCAGTACCTAAACCCGTTATAGCAGGTCTGGTTGTCAACGAAATTTCCCTTATAGGTCTGTTACAATAGGCCTCAGTCAGCCAAAAGTGCAGTAACTAATGCAGTCTACAGAATTATGACAACCTTTTTTTTGTAGAATAATGCCTCACAATAAACAATGAATGACCTGAAAATTTGTTTTTGATGGTGTTAGTTAAGAGATAAATATTGGCCAGGTGCTCCCTCGCTGTTCCTCGAACAATATCATACGACCTTTTACATTCAATTGACAGGATAGATGGGCTGTATCGCAACCAAAATGTTGCACCTTTTATCATGCTGTGCTCTATCATGTTACATTGAAGTGTGACCTGGATTACTTATTTAAATCTTGAAGTAGGACTTGAATCCACGACCTTTCCAATGTGAGACAATACAGCTACCACTGAATCAGGGTTGATTAACCTATAAAGTTATGCATAGGAGACAGTAATCTGTGATGAGTAATGCAGCACAGAAACAGACCCTTCAGTCCAACCTATCCATGCTGACCAGGTATCCTAACTGAACTGGTCCCATTTTCCTGTGTTCGGCCCATTTCCCTCTAAACATTTCTTATTCATATATCTGTTTATATGTCTTTTAAATGTAATTGTACTCCCCTCTTACATCTTCCTTTGGCAGCTCATTCCATACATGAACCACCCTCTGTGTGAAAATGTTGTCCCTCAGGTCCCTTTTAAATCTTTACTTTCCCATCTTAAACCTATGCCCTACGATTTGGACTCTCTTAACTTTGGAAAAAGACCTTGGATATTCACCTTATCTATCCCCCCTCATGATTTTATAAACCTCTATAAGGTCACCCCTCAGCCTCCAACCCTCCAGGGTAAAGCATCCCAGCTTGTCCAGCATGTGCATGTAACTCAAAACCTTCAGTCCCGGCAACATCCTTGTAAATTTTTTCTGTACCCTTTCTAGTTTAATAACGTCCTTCCTATGGCAGGGAAACCAGAACTATATACAGTATTCTAAAAGTGGCCTCACCAATGTCTTGTACAGGCCAACATGATGTCCCTATCCCTATACTCAATGCCTTAACCGATGAAAGCAAGCATGCCAAACGCTTTCTTCAGCACCCTGTGACTTCACTTTCAAGGAACAATGAAATTCCATCCCTAGGTCCAACAACACTCTCAAGTATTTTGTATTTTGTGAACTATATTTACACTACGAGACACTTATTGTGTTATATTTTTCATCTTCTTTATGTGGATATTTTTTATTGAATGCTTTTAGTTGATGGTTGGCCAATCCTGAAGGCTGTTGTCAAATATCCAAGATGATTTGCGGTTTGTAGGTCTGCTTGGACAATAGTTAAGTGATTGAGAATGTTCTTAAAACATTGGCCAATTTAGATACCGTATGCAACCCATCAGACAATCCACCTGGAACCTATTTGTCCTGATGGTGGTATTTATTGTCAGAATGTGCGTTCTTGTCGACCACTGACTATGGATTTCCCAATTTGAATTCTCCACTTTGAGTCTGAATTCCTGAATGCCTGAAGATGTGTCAAACTGTTATGTAGTTTCCATGTAGTTCAAACAATGGCCCTTTCTGTGGAATTCTGGCAACTAGCAGTTGGATTTAATAATAGCCTTTTATCTAATGATTAACTCTGTTTTTACATTCCAATTGATGCCCATATTCTGAAGCACTCTTAGTAATACTTTTCATTCCCCTTAAGATAGAAGAAAGAATGTAAATATTATAACTGTCTTGTGGGAAGACAACATGTGTAAAGAATGAGCATTCAAAGATCCTATCGCATAATTAAAGAATCAGTGAATTTGTGTTCAATTCATTGACTCTGATATTGATGGAAAGAGGAGGTTGCAGAGAAATCTGGAAACAGCCAGATTGGGTACATGGAAGAACGATACCTATCATTGTATCCTGCCTGAGTAACTGGTCAAACTGTCAGCCTGACCGTCGGTCATTTGGGGAAATCCATGAGATAAAACCACATCAGGAGACAGACAGTCTTCAGCAATCAAAAGGTCAGCATTTGGAGTTTAGGAGTGTAGCAAGGTGGGTGGGGAGGATTAAAAGTGTGCAGAAAACACAAAACTTCAAAAGTAACTAATAAATACAATGTACAAAACAATTTATGTTCTGTCACTGCAAAAGTGTATTACTTAGAGATTTGTTCCACTTTCACCTAAGTTGCATTAAAGTTATAGGTGACACTGCTGTTATTTGTCAAATACTGAAGAAGAAAATTGATTTTAAAGATGATTGTCACCATGCAAAGTAGTTGAAATAAAATAATCTCTAAGTCACCAATACTAAAATGTCTAGACTGAATGAGGAAGTACTTCTACTGCACAACCTGTCTGAAAAAGGGCAAATTGTGTCTCATGCAAAAAAACCCAGTCTGTACCATATGCATACAGGAAACAGATGAATATACGCAACTAGTACATTTGGTCTGAAGAAATTAAAGTACATCTTTGTCACGGGTTCACAAACCACTTGAATTCATTTTACTGAGTGAAGTCACAAAAATTCAGAAAATGATGTAAACTCTTCAAAAATACAGTTGTTTGTAAAAATGTAATTAAATTAATCTTGCTGATAATACTTAGCGGAGGATGAGTATTAACCGCATACGACCAGAAACACGGAAACATGGGAAGTCGAAGTTATTTCTAATCTGAACAATTACAGTACATGAAAAAATGAAGTTGTGGAAAATAATAAACGATGAATTGCCAAATTATGCTGCTGTATATTTTAACATTAAAGCTGAAGTCTGTATATAAGAGGGACAAGGAAAGTCAACTTGATTCAAGAGGAAATGGAGTGAAGCATTCATTTCAGTTATAACGAAATATAGGATTCTCTTTGAAAAACTAAAAAAGCAATTCAATCATATCTAAGTTCTTAGGTTTTAAAGGTTAGCGAGGTCTCTCAGCTGTAACTATGAACTTGCTAGCAAACGTCCAGTCACAGCTCATTCAGTGGAGCATAACTTTTAAACGGTTTTTACAGCAAGAACAAGGGAAGTTTTTATCAGTTGAATGGTTTTTACATGATTACAGACTGGGGCCTCTTCAGTAGTGCAGCTAATAGGAAAGCACAGAATTATTGAGAGCAGCTTCTACATTTCTCAATTTAACATGTAGACTGCAGAAGTTGCTGTTAGCTTACGGAGGAGTGGTGATGAAGGCTTATAGTTACACCTCATTATCCATGCGATATCTAAACTTATAGTCTTGAATAGCATAAAACCTGACTTGTTTGAACTATCAATGTTGTGTGATTCTCAGAATTTTCAATCAATGTAGATTTTAATTATAGCTGATTAAATGTTCCAGGTAAAGATGTTTATGTCCTTTTGAGGAAGGAGCATTAACCATATTGCATGGATCTTATATACACAAAGCTCCCTTACAGTGATTACTATAAGACCATAAGACATAGGAGCAGAAATTAGGCCATTCGGCCCATCGAGTCTGCTCTGCCATTCAATCATGACTGATAAGGTCCTCAACCCCATTCTCCTGCTTTCTCCCCGTAACCCTTGATCCCCTTGATAAGAACCTATCTATCTCAGTCTTAAATGTACTCAATGACCTGGCCTCCACAGCCTTCTGTGGCAGTGAATTCCATAGATTCACCACCCTCTGGCTGAAGAAGTTTCTCGTTATCTGCGTTCTAAAAGATCTTCCCTTTACTCTAAGGCTGTGCCCTCGGGTCCTAGACTCTCCTACCAATGGAAGCATCTTCCCAACATCCACTTTGTCCAGGCTATTCAGTATTTTGAAAGTTTCAATTAGATCCCCCCTCATCCTTCTAAACTCCAATGAGTATAGTCCCAGAGTCCTCAAACGTTCCTCATATGTTAAGCTTCTCATTCCTGGGACCATTCTCATGAACCTCCTCTGAACCCGCTCCAGGACCAGTACATTTACTTTGTAATTTAACAGCTCATCAGTCAGGAACTCTGAAGTTGTCTCCCACTCCATTGATATTAATCCCAAACCCTATATTGTACAGTGTACAGACCTGATCTATCTCATTGACAATAATTCCAAACCTTACACTGTGTACACAACGTGGGCCTGGTCTAGTCATTGATAATGATCACAAACCATATACTGTGTACTTAGTGCAGACCTGATCTATCCCATTGATAAGAATTTCAAACCCTACATTGAGTACACAATGCAGAGCTCATTTTCTTTGAATATATTTCTTTAAAAGATGCAAAAATATTGAAAATGGGGCAAAAATCTGTTTAGGTGATGGTCAAGTATCATCACCTTCCTGCTTTCAATTGGCATAGGAAGGAAGTGTATGACAACAATGGATGTGTTGGTTGTCCAATGCCTGGAATGTGGGAGCAAGTCATGTGACGATGAAGTCTCCAGAAATAT